ATTTAGTCTTTATGTAGTCCTAAGTTTAGTCCTGATGTAGTCCTAGTTTAGTCCTGATGTAGTCTTGATGTAGTTTTAAATTTAGTCCTGATGTAGTTCTAAGTTTAGTCCTGGACCAAGACCTCAAAAAAGAGGTGGTCTTGGTCCACTTGACTCCGAGTTTGACCAAAAGCCAAACTCTGGTGTGGTCCCTCCATGGATCTATTATAATAACTGGAGGATGTTGCTGCTTGTATCGGCCTCACTGGTTCTACAGCGGAAAAATCCTCCGGGCTGAGAAAGGATTTTTCTCATACAGCGCAAAATAATCACAAACGTCTCTTGTTCGGCAAACAGGCACCTACAACTTTCAAAAATATCAGATTATGTGGCAATATTTTTTTCCAATTTTTAGATGTTACGTCCCCTTTGCTAGGGGAGAAAGGGATGTAACAATAAAACCAGGATGTTTAAGGTTTAACAAAAAATTGTGCATTTATTATTTACATTGTAGGAAAAGAACAAAAAAAAAAAACAGGTATTTGAGGAGATAATAAAAAGTAATTAAACAAAATAATCTAATAAACTAAGGAGCCCTAACTAAGTACAATGTAACAAAATCTAACTCAAGTTGTACTGCGAACAAAAAGGTGTCTCAAAGAACTAACGGAGGCAACAGCCGGCAACAAAACACAAAATGAGACAACCAAAGAATCAAACAAAAAGGGCGAACTGGCCGCAGGGATCCAGCCCCGAGCAGGGAGAAGACTGTCCTTTAAACCCCCGCTACCACAGGTGGCGTCCGTGGACTGGTGGGGGCGGAGGGGTGACCGGCCAATCCTCGACACGCTGCGACGCATCCGGGTCCAGGGCTCACAAAAGCAAACACAGAAGAACAGGAGCACTCAAACAAATATCAAACATCATCATAACATTAGATCATAAACTTTTTCTCCGCTCAAAATCCTTCAGTTGTCTTAAAAAACTCTTTATAATCTTTCGCTTCGGCTATTCTCTACTCCTCTTGCTCTGATTGGTCAAAGCGATCACATGATACACAAGACCACACTCCATTCGCATGTACCGTGAGAGAAAAGACACTACTCCACATACTCAATCAGCCCAGAGCCACCGGAAGAACCTCACCGGGCTAAAGGAGAATCTGGAATCATGTGTCATTGAGCTCGGCCCATTGATTTGAATGGGCGACCATTTTGAAACTCCGGGGCTTGGGTTCCTCTGGTGAGAACATGAACTTGTGTCCAGACCACAGACAGTAGATCCAAATGAACTATTCAAAATGCATCATGGGAAAGGGAGACTAATGATTAGAGCCCGACCGATATATCGGTTGGCCGATATTATCAGCCGATATGAGCAACTGGAAGATATCGGCTATCGGCCGATATACTTGCTGATAGGGGCCGATATTTCACGTGGGCATGTTATACGTCATTATAAAGCTTAGACTCTCTACATTATGTTCATTTAATCCAATTTACAAACATATTAATGTCCAAATATGTGGCTCCACATCAGTATTTATCTGCAGAGTCATTTGTCTGTGTGTGTTCATACTGCCCCTGAACACACCCCAGAGTCACGTGCGTTTGTTTACATCCGCAGATATTGATCTAAACACTGAGATTATTTTCTTTTTACGGACAATCGCTTTGAGTCTGGATTAAAAGGACTTTTATTGGTGCAGACTTGTGATGTGAGGATGAGCCTCTGTGAGCGGTGAGTGTTGGAAATACATTGACTTTGAAGCTAGTTTTTTGTTAGCGATTAGCTGCTGTAGCTCCCACACATAAACAGGCTGTTTTCTATTGGTCTGTTGTAAAGTTACTATATTGGCCGTATATTTGTTACTGGACCTGCATTGATATGTAAATGAACTGTGAATAGAAGTGTGAATGATGAAATTTGCGCATATAATTAATTACCATGGCGCGCACGTATTTACGGGTAAAGGCTAATAGCGATTGTTTATTTACTAGCTAGGCTAGTAGTGATGGGTCGGTCGCGAATGAAGCGGCTCTTAGATCCGGCTCTTTGAAGCGAACGACGGGAGCCTGATCCTTATTAGGATTGGGAGCTATGTTTTTCTCTTTCTCTCACTTTTTTCTCTTCACGCTGCATGCAGACTCGTGGTAGTTTGACAGCGGCAGTGGCTAAAAAGGAAACTTTCAGAAATATGCGTGTGTATAGGGCAAAAAAAAACGTGCATAAATATATTCAGCATAAAATAAATAAACCAGACTAATCTTGGGGTCGAGAGAGATAGAGACTGAGTCCCGACACTCAGTCCTGGTTAAGTTCTGGTTTAGTCCTCTTTTGCACATAGTTTAGATCTGTTTTAGTCCTGGTTTAGTGCTTTTTTCAGTCCTGGTTCAGTTCTGGTTTAGTCCTGCTTTAGACCTGCCTTAGACCTGCTTTAGTCCTATGACATATCATGTAAAGAGGCAGAATAACAATAAATGTTGCCTAAATAAACCCAGTTTAAAATCCACAAGAACCAAACCTAAGTTTATTTAAAATAATTCAAGATTTACAGTGAATTTTTACATCACTAAAATATATCGGCGATTATATCGGCTATCGGCAGCGCCAACTCCCATTATATTGGTGTCATATCGGCAACAACAAAATCCATATCGGTCGGGCTCTACTAATGATTTCATTTTCTGTTTGTGTGTTTGTGGTGAATGAAGAAGACACTGAGACCTTGAACTGTAACCAAACTTGGACCTCTGAAGAAATTCAAGCCCTTGTGAACATCTGGCCGGACAATCACATTAAAGAACAACTGTCGTCAACTCACAAGAACATCAACGTATTTGCTATCGGCCCCTCGCTGTGACAAACCCCAGTCCAGGAGCAGGGACTCCCAATTGATTGCAGAGCGCGACCCCCCCCCCCCCCCCCAGACAGTCGTAACCCCACGAGGAACCCGGAGCAACAAGGTGCGTTCGAAGTGTCGATGATCAACGCGTCTGCAGTTCGCATTAGTTCTCGCCGCTTGTTGTGTTCTTCATCGACCGCGCGCACAGACAAAACTTTGTGTTCGACTTGCGCTGTACAAATAAACTCCCCTCGTCTTGATTAACGACCGGCTGCAGGCGCCGGGCTTTAAGTCGAGACCGTTCGGATCAGAGAGAGTGAATCCTTTTAGGTTCAAACCAACTGGATTTCAGCACTGAACCTGGCAACCCAAAACGAGAGACACATGTGAGGCTTTGATTTAACATTCACGAACACTCGCGGTTTTGAAAATGAGACACTCCCTCTTTAATGAAACTGCAAAAAAATGTCATTAATAACAGCAGGCGTGACAGAGGCCCACATAGAGGTAATTCCATAACCGTTACCTAGCAACCGTATTGTTCACAAGGGCCACAACTTGTCTCAATTACACAATAGATAGATCAGATTAATAAAAATAAAAGACAGCGCTTTTAGTTTGATAAATGAAGGTTTAAACTGTCAGAAAAATGCCTTCGTTGAGCGTAAATTGTCGCTCATTTTGAAAGGAGGTAGAAGGAGTTTGTTTAAGAACTGACCTCTAACTCCTCTATTTTTGTTTTTTCTCAACTTTTTTCCCACAAATTTTCACTTAATTCACCTAAAACTAAAATAAATACAGTTTGGACCACAGGAACTATTCACCAAACCAGGTCAGAATGAGAAAAACCTGAAAATCTGACGTGTGCACTTTACTTTAAACCATAAACATAACTGATTTTCACTCATATCTGAACTTTAAAGCTATATTGTGCAACTTTTCTGTCAGGTCGATCACCTGTTTGTATCCGTGGAGATGTTATTGCTTGGTCTGGAATGTTCCGTGGTGTGACGTTAAACTTTTCTGTCTAGTATTTCTTCGTTACATTACTATTGCTCAAAAATACAATCATTCTCTCTTGTAAATTGTGACTTGAGGGGCGCCTCTCCACAGATCTGACCTGTAATGTAGTCTAGAGTTGTAGATAGGTTTAATTTCTACTGTGGAACATTTTCGACAAAGCAAGAAGAAGACATGCAGGTGATGGACCCTCCACTGGAAAAGTTATTGTGAATTGTTGATCTAATAATAAAGGTTTTGCCTCATGAGGACTTGAGGACAAGATCTGGAACTAAACCAGGACTAGAGCAGAACCAAACCAAGTCTACGTCAGGACTAACCCGGGATCACAACAAGATCCAACCAGGACCAGTGTGAACATGGAGTTGTTTAAGGTGGAGCTGGTTTAGCTGGAGCTGGTTTAGGTGGAGCTGCTGTAGATGTAGATGTAGGTGGAGCTGGTTTAGGTGGAGCTGATGTGGACGTAGCTGTAGATGTAGACATAGGTGGAGTTGTTTTAGGTGTAGCTGATGTAGATGTGGGTGGAGTTGTTTTAGATGTAGATGGTTTAGGTGGAGCTGGTTTAGGTGTAGCTGATGTAGATGTAGTTGGAGTTGTTTTAGGTGGAGCTGATGTAGATGTGGTGGAGTTGTTTTAGATGTAGCTGGTTTAGGTGGAGTTGTTTTAGGTGTAGCTGATGTAGATGTAGTTGGAGTTGTTTTAGGTGGAGCTGATGTAGTTGGAGTTGTTTTAGGTGGAGCTGATGTAGATGTGGGTGGAGTTGTTTTAGATGTAGCTGGTTTAGGTGGAGCTGGTGTAGATGTGGATGTAGCTGTAGGTGGAATTGTTTTAGGTGTAGCTGATGTAGCTGGTGATATAGATGTAGCTTTAGATGGAGCTGTTTTAGGTGTAGCTGGTGCTGATGTAGCTGTGGGTGGAGTTCTTTTAGGTGGAGTTGTTTTAGGTGTTGTTGATTTAGGTGGAGTTGTTTTAAGTGGTGCTGGTGGAGTTGTTTTAGGCGGAGTTGTTTTAGGTGGTTCTGATGTAGCCGTAGATGTGGATGTGTGGAGTTGTTTTAGGTGGAGTTGTTTTAGGTGGAGTTGTTTTACGTGGAGTTGTTTTAGGTGGTGCTGTTGTAGCTGGTGTAGCTGTAGATGTAGATGTAGGTGGAGCTGTTTTAAGTGGAGCTGGTGTAGATGTAGATGTGGTGGGGCTGGTTTAGGTGGAGCTGATGTGGACGTAGCTGTAGATGTAGACATAGGTGGAGTTGTTTTAGGTGTAGCTGATGTAGATGTGGGTGGAGTTGTTTTAGATGTAGCTGGTTTAGGTGGAGCTGGTGTAGATGTAGCTGTAGGTGGAGTTGTTTTAGATGTAGCTGATGTAGATGTGGGTGGAGTTGTTTAGATGTAGCTGATGTAGATGTGGGTGGAGTTGTTTTAGATGTAGCTGATGTAGATGTGGGTGGAGTTGTTTTAGATGTAGCTGGTTTAGGTGGAGCTGGTTTAGGTGGAGCTGATGTAGATGTAGCTGTAGGTGGAATTGTTTTAGGTGTAGCTGTTGCTGATGTAGCTGGTGATGTAGCTGTGGGTGGAGTTGTTTTAGGTGTTGTTGATTTAGGTGGAGTTGTTTTAAGTGGTGCTGGTGGAGTTGTTTTAGGCGGAGTTGTTTTAGGTGGTGCTGATGTGTGGTGTTGTTCTAGGTGGAGTTGTTTTAGGTGTAGCTGTAGATGTAGCTGGTGATGTAGCTGTGGGTGGAATTGTTTTAGGTGGTGCTGATGTAGCCGTAGATGTGGATGTGTGGAGTTGTTTTAGGTGGAGTTGTTTTAGGTGGAGTTGTTTTAGGTGGAGTTGTTTTTAGGCGGTGTTGTTTTAGGTGGAGTTGTTTTACGTGGAGTTGTTTTATGGTGGTGTTGGTGTAGCTGGTGTAGATGTAGACATGGGTGGAGTTGTTTTAGGTGGTTCTGGTGTAGCCGTAGATCTGGATGTGTGGTGTTGTTTTAGGTAGTGTTGCTTTAGGTGGAGTTGTTTTAGGTGGTGTTGGTGAGTTGTTTTAGGTGTTGTTTTAGGTGGTGTTTTCGTGGAGTTGTTTTAGGTGGAGTTGTTTTAGATGGTGTTGTTTTAGGTGGAGTTGTTTTAGGTGGTGCTGTAGATGTGGATGTGTGGAGTTGTTTTAGGTGGAGTTGTTTTAGGTGGAGTTGTTTTTAGGTGGAGTTGTTTTAGGTGATGCTGTAGATGTAGATGTGTGGAGTTGTTTTTAGGTGGTGCTGTTGTAGCTGGTGTAGATGTGGATGTGTGGTGGTGTTTTTAGGTGTTGTTGTTTTAGGTGGTGTAGTTTTAGGTGGAGTTGTTTTAGGTGGTGCTGTAGATGTGGATGTGGATGTGTGGAGTTGTTTTAGGAGGAGTTGTTTTAGGTGGTGCTGTTGTAGCTGGTGTAGCTGTAGATGTAGTGGTGGATGTGTGGAGTTGTTTTTAGGTGGAGTTGTTTTAGGTGGAGTTATTTTAGGTGGTGCTGATGTAGCTGGTGTAGATGTGTGGATGTGTGGTGGTGTTTTTAGGTGGAGTTGTTTTAAGGTGGAGTTTGTTTTAGGTGGTGCTGATGTAGCTGGTGTAGATGTGGATGTGTGGTGGTGTTTTTTAGGTGGAGTTGTTTTAAGGTGGAGTTGTTTTAGGTGGAGTTGTTTTTAGGTGGAGTTGTTTTAGGTGGTGCTGTAGATGTGGATGTGTGGAGTTGTTTTAGGTGGAGTTGTTTTTAGGTGGTGTTTTTAGGTGGAGTTGTTTTAGGTGGTGTTGTTTTAGGTGGAGTTGTTTTAGGTGGTGCTGTTTTTGGTGGAGTTGTTAGGTGTGTGTAGATGTTTTGTGGTGGAGTTGTTTTTAGGTGGAGTTGTTTTTAGTGGTGTTTTTAGGTGGAATTGTTTTAGGTGGAGTGTTTTAGGTGGTGCTGTAGATGTGGATGTGTGGAGTTGTTTTAGGTGGAGTTGTTTTTAGGTGGTGTTTTTAGGTGGAGTTGTTTTAGGTGGTGTTGTTTTAGGTGGAGTTGTTTTAGGTGGTGCTGTTTTAGGTGGAGTTGTTTTAGGTGGTGCTGTAGATGTGGATGTGTGGAGTTGTTTTAGGTGGAGTTGTTTTTAGGTGGTGTTTTTAGGTGGAGTTGTTTTAGGTGGAGTTGTTTTTTAGGTGGTGTTTTTAGGTGGAGTTGTTTTTAGGTGGAGTTGTTTTAGGTGGTGTTGTTTTAGGTGGAGTTGTTTTAGGTGGAGTTGTTTTTAGGTGGAGTTGTTTTAGGTGGTGTTGTTTTAGGTGGTGGAGTTTTAGGTGGAGTTGTTTTAGGTGGTGTTGTTTTAGGTGGTGTTGTTTTAGGTGGAGTTGTTTTAGGTGGTGCTGTTGTAGCTGGTGGAGTTTTAGGTGGAGTTGTTTTAGGTGGTGCTGTAGATGTGGATGTGTGGAGTTGTTTTAGGTGGAGTTGTTTTTAGGTGGTGTTTTTAGGTGGAGTTGTTTTAGGTGGTGTTGTTTTAGGTGGAGTTGTTTTAGGTGGTGTTGGTGGAGTTGTTTTAGGTGGTGTTGGTGGAGTTGTTTTAGGTGGTGCTGTTGTAGCTGGTGTAGATGTGGATGTGGATGTGTGGTGGTGTTTTATGTGGAGTTGTTTTTAGGTGGTGTTTTTAGGTGGAGTTGTTTTTAGGTGATGCTGTTGTAGCTGGTGGAGTTGTTTTAGGTGGAGTTGTTTTAGGTGCTGTTGTAGCTGGTGTGTTTTAGGTGGAGTTGTTTTAGGTGGAGTTGGTTTTAGGTGTGTTGTTTGGAGTTGTTTTAGGTGGTGCTGTTTAGCTGGTGGAGTTGTTTTTAGGTGGTGCTGTTGTAGCTGGTGGAGTTGTTTTTAGGTGGTGCTGTTGTAGCTGGTGTAGTTTTAGGTGGAGTTGTTTTAGGTGGTGCTGTTGTAGCTGGTGGAGTTTTAGGTGGAGCTGTTGTAGCTGGTGGAGTTGTTTTAGGTGGTGTTGGTGGAGTTGTTTTAGGTGGTGCTGTTGTAGCTGGTGGAGTTGTTTTAGGTGGTGCTGTTGTAGCTGGTGGAGTTGTTTTAGGTGGTGCTGTTGTAGCTGGTGTAGTTTTAGGTGGAGTTGTTTTAGGTGGTGCTGTTGTAGCTGGTGGTTTTAGGTGGTGTGTTGTAGCTGGTGAGTTGTTTTAGGTGGTGTTGGTGGAGTTGTTTTAGGTGGTGCTGTTGTAGCTGGTGTAGTTTTAGGTGTTGTTGTTTTAGGTGGAGTTGTTTTTAGGTGGTGCTGTTGTAGCTGGTGGAGCTGTAGATGTGTGGTGGTGTTTTTAGGTGGAGTAGTTTTTAGGTGGAGTTGATTTAGGTGGTGCTGTTTTAGGTGGAGTTGTTTTAGGTGGAGTTGTTTTAGGTGGTGCTGTTTTAGGTGGAGTTGTTTTAGGTGGTGCTGTTGTAGCTGGTGGAGTTGTTTTAGGTGGAGTTGTTTTAGGTGGTGCTGTTTTAGGTGGTGCTGTTTTAGGTGGAGTTGTTTTAGGTGGTGCTGTTGTAGCTGGTGTAGTTTTAGTGGAGTTGTTTTAGGTGGAGTTGTTTTAGGTGGTGCTGTTGTAGCTGGTGTAGTTTTAGGTGGAGTTGTTTTAGGTGGTGTTGGTGGAGTTGTTTTAGGTGGAGTTGTTTTAGGTGGAGTTGTTTTAGGTGGTGTAGTTTTAGGTGTTGTTGTTTTAGGTGGAGTTGTTTTTAGGTGGTGCTGTTGTAGCTGGTGGAGCTGTAGATGTGTGGTGGTGTTTTTAGGTGGAGTTGTTTTAGGTGGTGCTGTTGTAGCTGGTGGAGTTGTTTTTAGGTGGAGTTGTTTTTGGTGGAGTTGTTTTAGGTGGAGTTGTTTTTAGGTGGAGTTGTTTTAGGTGGTGCTGTTGTAGCTGGTGGAGTTTTAGGTGGTGCTGTTGTAGCTGGTGGAGTTGTTTTTAGGTGGAGTTGTTTTAGGTGGAGTTGTTTTTAGGTGGAGTTGTTTTAGGTGGTGCTGCTGTAGCTGGTGTAGTTTTAGGTGTTGTTGTTTTAGGTGGAGTTGTTTTTAGGTGTTGTTGTTTTTAGGTGGAGTTGTTTTAGGTGGTGCTGTTGTAGCTGGTGTAGTTTTAGGTGGAGTTGTTTTAGGTGGAGTTGTTTTAGGTGGTGCTGTTGTAGCTGGTGTAGTTTTAGGTGTTGTTGTTTTAGGTGGAGTTGTTTTTAGGTGTTGTTGTTTTAGGTGGAGTTGTTTTTAGGTGGAGTTGTTTTAGGTGGTGCTGTTGTAGCTGGTGTAGTTTTAGGTGGATTGTTTTGTGGTGAGTTGTTTTAGGTGGTGCTGTTGTAGTTTTGGTGGAGTTGTTTTAGGTGGAGTTGTTTTAGGTGGAGTTGTTTTAGGTGGTGCTGTTGTAGCTGGTGAAGTTTTAGATGGAGTTGTTTTAGGTGGAGTTGTTTTAGGTGGTGCTGTTGTAGCTGGTGGAGTTGTTTTAGGTGGAGTTGTTTTTAAGTGGTGTTTTTAGGTGGTGTTTTTAGGTGGAGTTGTTTTCGGTGGTGCTGTTGTAGCTGGTGTAGATGTAGATGTGTGGTGGTGTTTTTAGGTGGAGTTGTTTTAGGTGGTGCTGGTGGAGTTGTTTTAGGTGTTGTTGTTTTAGGTGGTGTTTTTAGGTGGAGTTGTTTTAGGTGGAGTTGTTTTAGGTGGTGCTGTTGTAGCTGGTGTAGTTTTAGGTGGAGTTGTTTTAGGTGTTGTTTTTAGGTGGAGTTGTTTTAGGTGGTGCTGTTGTAGCTGGTGTAGTTTTAGGTGGTGCTGGTGGAGTTGTTTTTAGGTGGAGTTGTTTTAGGTGGTGTTTTTAGGTGGAGTTGTTTTAGGTGGTGCTGTTGTAGCTGGTGGAGCTGTTTTTTAGGTGGTGCTGTTGTAGCTGGTGGTGTTTTAGGTGGTTGTTGTTTTAGGTGGAGTTGTTTTAGGTGGTGCTGTTGTAGCTGGTGTAGTTTTAGGTGGTTGTTGTTTTAGGTGTGTTGTTTTAGGTGGGTTGTTTTAGGTGGAGTTTTGTTTTAGGTGGTGGTGGAGTTTTAGGTGGTGCTGTTGTAGCTGGTGGAGCTGTAGATGTGTGCTGGTGTTTGGAGAGCGAGCGGTGGAAGTGCAGCGTCTCTGTGTGAAGCGCTCACACCAACGCAGCATCATCGCTCCCAAATGAAAAGCTGATGTGTTACCATGGAAACAACATCATCAACCCGCGTTCCAGGGATCAGGCGCATAAACTCTGAAAGAGAGAGAGACTAAAGAGAGGAAGAGTACCCAGAGAGAGAAAGAGCACCTAAGAAAAAGGAGTGGGGGGAGGAGGAGTACCCAGAGAGTGACAGAGAGAGATAGAAAGAGGGTGAGAGAGAGTGCCTAGAGAGAAAGAGGACCTAAAGAGAGAAAGAGGAAGAGTACCCAGAGAGAGAGAGAGTGCCTAGAGAGAAAGAGGACCTAAAAAGAGAGAGAGAGGGAGTACCCAGAGAGAGAGAGGGAGAGAAAGAGGACCTAAAGAGAGGGAGAAAGGGAGTACCAAGAGAGAGAGGGAGAGAAAGAGGACCTAAAGAGAGAGAGAGGAAGAGTACCCAGAGAGAGAGAGTTCCTAGAGAGAAAGAGGACCTAAAGAAAAAAAGAGGAAGAGTACCCAGAGAGAGAGAGAGAGTTCCTAGAGAGAAAGAGGACCTAAAGAGAGAGAGAGAGGGAGTACCCAGAGAGAGAGAGGGAGAGAAAGAGGACCTAAAGAGAGAGAGGGAGGGAGTACCCAGAGAGAGAGAGAGTTCCTAGAGAGAAAGAGGACCTAAAGAGAGAGAGAGAAGGAGTACCCAGAGAGAGAGAGGGAGAGAAAGAGGACCTAAAGAGAGGGAGTACCCAGAGAGAGGGAGAAAGGGAGTACCAAGAGAGAGAGGGAGAGAAAGAGGACCTAAAGAGAGAGAGGGAGGGAGTACCCAGAGAGAGAGAGAGAGTGCCTAGAGAAAAAGAGAACCTAAAGAGAGAAAGAGAAGGAGTACCGAGAGAGAGAGAGAGAGAGAGAGAGAGAGAGAGAGAGAGAGAGAGGAGGAGTACCCAGAGATAGAGAGGGAGAGAAGGAGGACCTAAAGAAAGAGAGGGAGGGAGTACCCAGAGAGAGAGAGAGTTCCTAGAGAGAAAGAGGACCTAAAGAAGAGAGAGAGAGGAGTACCCAGAGAGAGAGAGGAGGAGAGAGAAGAGGACCTAAAGAGAGAGAGGGAGGGAGTACCCAGAGAGAGAGAGGGAGAGAAAGAGGACCTAAAGAGAGAGAGGAGGGAGTACCCAGAGAGAGAGAGAGTTCCTAGAGAGAAAGAGGACCTAAAGAGAGAGAGAGAGGAGTACCCAGAGAGAGAGAGAGGAGAGAAGAGGACCTAAAGAGAGGGAGTACCCAGAGAGGGGAGAAAGGGAGTACCAAGAGAGAGAGGGAGAGAAAGAGGACCTAAAGAGAGAGAGGGAGGGAGTACCCAGAGAGAGAGAGAGAGTGCCTAGAGAAAAAGAGAACCTAAAGAGAGAAAGAGAAGGAGTACCGAGAGAGAGAGAGAGAGAGAGAGAGAGAGAGAGGAGGAGTACCCAGAGATAGAGAGGGAGAGAAGGAGGACCTAAAGAAAGAGAGGGAGGGAGTACCCAGAGAGAGAGAGAGTTCCTAGAGAGAAAGAGGACCTAAAGAGAGAGAGAGAGGGAGTACCCAGAGAGAGAGAGGGAGAGAAAGAGGACCTAAAGAGAGAGAGGGAGGGAGTACCCAGAGAGAGAGAGAGTTCCTAGAGAGAAAGAGGACCTAAAGAGAGAGAGAGAAGGAGTACCCAGAGAGAGAGAGGGAGAGAAAGAGGACCTAAAGAGAGGGAGTACCCAGAGAGAGGGAGAAAGGGAGTACCAAGAGAGAGAGGGAGAGAAAGAGGACCTAAAGAAAGAGAGGGAGGGAGTACCCAGAGAGAGAGAGAGTGCCTAGAGAAAAAGAGGACCTAAAGAGAGAAAGAGAAGGAGTACCGAGAGAGAGAGAGAGAGAGAGAGAGGAGGAGTACCCAGAGATAGAGAGGGAGAGAAGGAGGACCTAAGAGAGAGGGAGGGAGTATTCAGATAGAGAGAGAAAGAGGACCTAAAAAGAAGGAGTGAGGGGAGGAGGAGTACCCAGAGAGAGAGAGAGAGAGAGAGAGAAGGAGAGAGAGAGTGCCTAGAGAGAAAAAGAACCTAAAGAGAGAAAGAGAAGGAGTACCCAGAGATAGATAGGGAGAGAAAGAGGACCTAAAGAGAGAGGAAGGGAGTATCCAGAGAGAGAGAGTGTGTCTAGAAAGAAAGAGGACCTAAAGAGAGAGAGAGAGAGGGAGTACCCAGAGAGAGGGAGGAAGAGGGAGCACCTAGAAAGAGGGAGAAAGGGAGTACCAAGAGAGAGAGGGAGAGAAAGAGGACCTAAAGAGAGAGAGAGGGAGTACCCAGAGAGAGAGAGCCAAAGATAGAGATAGAGAGAGAGAGTGCCTAGAGAGAAAGAGGACCTAAAGAGAGAGAGTACCCAGAGAGAGGGAGCAAGAGAGATAGAGAGGGGGAGAGAGAGTGCCTAGAGAGAGAGGGAGAGTACTTAAAGAGGAGAGAGGGAGTACCCAGAGAGAGGAAGAGAGAGAGTGCCTATAGAGAGGGAGTACCCAGAGAGAGAGAGTGCCTAGAGAGTTCAGTTTGAGAGAAGAACTCGGTTTGTGTGTTTAAACG